ATGTATTATTTGTATTTAATTGTATTTTACAATTATATTGACCTTTTTGTTAAAATGTGAACACACGACACGCAAGTACGGAAAAGCCAAGGGGGGACATATCTCCCCAATGTTAACCGCAATTAGCGCCCACACAAACATGCGTTTTTGACGAATTACACATGCGAATAAACTGTTGGCGTGTTCGGATTTAATTTGCCGATAATTTTAATTATTAAAATATCGTATACTTCAAGCGTTATTGACGTGTCAACACAAATGTAGTAAACCAACTGAAAGCTACCTAAGTGTTTGTGATCGCTGCAGCACCGTCGTTTTATACTCCAATTTACAATAATTTAATTAATTGTCGACAGTTATTTATTATTATTATTACAGTTTATTTCTCAGTTAAACGTTAGCTGTAAATGCAGATTAAAAATGTAAACAAAAAAGAGCTGATACTAAGGACGGGTGTGCCACCGTTGTGAATGGGAAGTCGGGAAGGTAGGATACATAGTCATTTAATTTGTGAACAACGAGAAACTATTGTTAATAAAAAACGATTCGAAGCGAAGTTTGGTTATAAATGTATTGAAATGTAATATTTACGATTTTCGTAAAAATTGTATTTTAAAACTGTTGTTAAAAAAAAAAAAAAAATACTACATTATACTCAATTTTTTTTTTTTTGACCACTAAGTACGACGACTTATAATGAATCTCCTTTTAAATCTTCGATTCAGAGGTGATTTTTAACAAGCTTCAAGTGCGTAAAAGTTATACAAACTGAAATGAATACTAACAAAAAAAAAAAATAACCAATCACTCGTTCAGTATCCCTTATTTTCCTTATCGCCTTTGGAAGAATTGATAAAATGGTATCACCATTCAGTGCCGTGCTTAGTGAAATTAGCACAAGGTGTCAGAAAAATTTACTGATGGGCAAAAAAAAAAATTATCTACCTGTTCGACGGGCGTTCACTCATACGTTTATTGTAAAAATATTCACTAAAGAATTTTAAAAATTTTCAATGGCGCCCCTAGGCACGGCCCTGTTACCGTGGGGCGAATACTGAAGTGAAGTATATTTCACTACTTATTCGAATGACTACATATGTACACTTAAGAACAGACCAAGGGCAGATGATCTAGCTACCACCTGCCTCCCCTTGAACCGCCATGTGCTGCGACTATAGTTCATAATTTCGTGTATCAGTATCAAAAGTAATAACTACTTATTGGTTTTTGCGTTTTCTATTTCTTATAATATAATAAAATTTCTTAGAAATTGTCTTGAGAGAAATCGATTATGTTTCGTATCCAATCCCTCAATATACAATATGCCAATATAGGAGTATAATCATAATACATACGTTACACTGGAAACCGCTCTTCTAGAGAAGTCACTTCTTCCGTCGTTTACTTACCGAACGTGACTAAGCCAAAACAAAAGGCGAGGTTATGCATCACGGCTAAATTGACATCCGCAAGAACGGTTTTAGAATATTATATCGATTCGACGTCATTTGGTTGTATTGTTCAACGAACAAAAAATCCGAAATCGCGTACATAGAGCATTGATATAATATTTGGTGAACTTTACTTCATTGTAAAAAAAAAATAAAAGTATATAGGTAAATTCACCATAAGCAAAACAATATACAGGTTTTAATATTATTGTTTTTGTACCTAATATACTTGTATATTTAGGCACAACAGTCACATAGAATGCCCAGGAAGTCAATGAATATTAAATAAAAAAGCATAAATAAAATGTAATACAAGATATATACGGAAACGGTGCACTCAAACGACCAAAAAAGTCACCGAAGGTAACTATATGTGTATGTGTTTGCTTTCCCTCATCCTTAATCGATTCGATTGAAAGCGGTAGCAAACAAATTGCGAATAATAGATAATTTTGTGAAGCTAATTGCCAATTCTCCAATTCCTTGTAAAATCAATTTTTTTAAGGGGAGGTGCAATTTTACGCAGTTTTAAAATATATTTATGAAAAAAATAATTATTTTCTTTCATTCCCTCTCAAAAAAACTAAATTTGACTTTTTACAAACGATTCTATTTTATTATACGACGAGCATGTATTTAAGTGTGAACTATGCGAATAATAATAATAATAATAATAAAAATGTAAGCGATTCACTGATCCTTGGATCGGGGGATGCCACAGCAGACTCGGTGTCTCCGTATCGTTATTTATGATTATATTATTGTACGTTATAAAAGGATGAGCCTGAACGAATGTCAAATCCGAATCCTGTTGAATGTGTATCTGTAAATCCTTTGTGAGTTTTACCTGAAACCCAATTAATTCGTTTTTGTCACTTAGTTACTATGGTAACCGGAGCCTTGGTTACTAATTTATAAATTTCATCGGGCACACATACACACACACACGCACACATGCATATAAATGTATATAAGCTATTGTTTTACCGATTTGTTTATTTAAAAAAAAAAAAACTTTTTAACAGTTACCGATTGGTAACCGTCAAGTTAAATCGTCCAGTCCTTAAAACATTTTCTACGTAATGATACAAATATATAATAATATATTATTGTAATGTCCGTTGCCACTTCCTGAATTTTTACTTTTATTTATAATTTAACAAAGTTTATGTCTAAAGTATTATTAAACAATATTGTTTTTTGGAAAACAAATTAAATTAATTATATGTATTTATTTTTTGTTTTTGAGGTTTTATAATTTTGTTGTTATAGATGACAAAACGTTGTGCGGTGTAATTCAATTGCCCGGTTTTCTGTAAAACCACTTCAAAAACATGACGTTTCGGTAATAATTCAACTACAGTATTTAAATTGATGATGAATAAAAAAAAAAATTAAAAATACAGAATCCTATGCAAAATCGTTCTTTAATAATTTATAGGTATATATAAAAACAATCGAATTAAAAAAAAAAAAAGAATGTTTTGCATTTGAATTTAATTTAAGTTCAATTCTATTCCTGTTTAAAATTGGAATCGTGAGAGTATTGCTCTCACCAGTATTTACAAAGCATATAAGTAGTAATGAAATTATGTTTGTGTTAGCAGTTTGAATATAACTATTTATTTAGACGTATATATATATATATATATATACAGGCATATAGTTGTTTAGTTTACAAATTAAAATCATAAATACAATAAATATTGACGGGATTAAAATTGAAACAAAATATATTTTTAAAAAAAAATGTATAAATGTATAATAATATTAATACTAATATTGTTCGATTTGAGTTATCGCAAGTGGTTTAAATACATTGTTTCCAGATCGAATTCAAATCGAAAAGTGAAACGATTCGTTTGTACAGTGGCGTTAATCTAAGCAAATCAAAGTTAATTTATATCTAATAGTGCAAATAAAATACTTCTAAATTTTAGTATTTATTTATTTATTTGTTTTTAACGATACGGGCTGAGACCATTTTTAGAATTAACACTAACATATAAACTATAAAAACAACAAATAAATATATAACAAAAAACTAAAAAACTAATGGATCATAATTTGCCATACGCATTTTTCTAAATGGCTAGTTCTGAACATAAATGGTGTGGCGTTATTATGCAAATTAGGTACCTACTCGTATACTTAATATTATTGTGTAATGTAAAGCAGCAGATCTCAAATTACAGTACGCGCACCATTGGTGATGCGCGATAGGCAACACGGTGGTACGTAGGCCACGTGATAGTAGCACAGAAAATAAATTAATACTTAACTATTTGTACAAATGTTTTTAACGGACCTAATATAGTTTACTATTTTGTGAACATTTTGTTTAAAAATTAAAAAAAAAAAAAAACAACAACACTAAACTGCGATCATTTTTTATATTGTAGTATTTTATTGTCTTGTGTTCTAATCATTTTGAAATAAACGCATAGACGTTTTGAACAACTCAATTTTTTGTCGTAAGTGGTGTGTAACAGATCCAAAATACATAATACGAGTAAAACATAAAATAAGTTTGGGAAACTCCAGTGCAATACATTATAACTTGTACTTATAATATATAGCTGAATTAGAAGTGTACATTTTTAAAGATTAGTAGGTATTTGATTAGTAATAGGTTTTAAATTTTGATAGTTAATTTAACGTGACCAATGGAACCGGAACAGCTTCAGCTCTTAACCATCCCTCACAAGATATGCCACTGTGTATGTATTCAATTTTTGAAAATATTATTAAAACCACTTTTTTAAACAGTTAACAGAAAAGCCGATTGTTGTTGAACCCTCACGTACATATGTACTTTGATAAAACGAGATAGATGTGTCCGGGAGACATGTTTGAGATTATAAGTGCGAGTGGTGTTATTATGAGATAGCGAGAAGCGAATATCACGTGATCATCGGGAAGTGCTTGAAATTGAATTAATTCCTCAAGCGATGACAATCGGTTTTGTTTTCCTCCAGATTTCCGAACTTATAAGCGTAATAGCCATTTTAATGTCGTAGTGACGATCATAATATGATCGTTAGATTTAAGTATATCATTTCATATAGTAAATCAGTAGTTATCATTTATATTTTATATTTTCAATAATAAATTATCAATTAAAACGAACAATTCTCGAACCTATGAAAACAGGCATTAAATTTTACGTCAATTATTTCTAACCTTGCTTCTACAAAAAAGGTTATTATGTTTTAAAATTAAATTCAAGTTGTATATAAACAAAATTTAATTTATAAGTGAAAATTGGAAATTTTCAACGTTGTAAAAATATCTAATCTTACTTCGGTATTTGTATAGGTAATAACTGAAAACAACTAATATTTATAAAAATATATTATGTTTATTTTAGATTTCAAGCGTAGCGTAGGAGCTATTGGTTTTACATTGCTGTTTATTTTTTTTTTTTCATTGTTCTAGTTTGTGGACACGTTTTCCTAGTAAACTTGCTCCGATTTTCACCTGTAGTAACTTTTCTTTAAGCCCAAGTTGTCTAGATTGAATTTTAAAGACGTCATTTTTCAAATAAAAGCACTCAAGTGAGAAAAAACGTAGGAACACGTACAATTTCACGATGCCATTATTCAAGGAATAGAACGGACGACGTTTTCTACTAGAAAAATGATTTAATCGAAAAATCACAGTTGGGAAACTAGGATACATAAGTTAATTAATTTACATCTGTAAGCAACGATAAATCATTTAAGAACGTAAAACTATTCTGAGCGAAGCTCGTTTATACATGTTTTGAAGTGTGGTTCTATATTTATGATTTTTATCAAAATATAATCTTAAAACGTTTAGTAACGATACCATTAATGCAGTAAACTTTTCCTTATTTCCTATGTTTTTTTTATTTTAGTTTTTACCCAATTAATATAAAGAAATATTCGAAAATTAAAATGCTACATTCTAACTAATCAATAAAATTAAAAAACAACAAAACAGGTCAATTATTATTTTTCGATTGGAGCGAAATTTCTGGCAGATAATATTATTTTATAATAATAATATTTTTCTTATTTTTAAGTATGGGTGTTATTTTTTATGCGTGATGTTTTAGTATTTCATGAGATAGCATTTTTTATTTTAAACTTTTATGCGTGTTCAGTATGTAATTTTAATCATATATTTAAACGATTTGGTAATTTTCTTACGTTCGTATTATTTTTAGTATACTATTAAATAAACAATATTGTTAAATGTTTTTTTTTTTTATATAAATGCGCATTTGTTGTAGGATGTTCAATACTAGCAAAGTGATGAAAACCGTAATGCAACCAAACGACAAACTCTTTCATCACGGTTGTAAAACAATTGGTTTCCAAGAACTCGGGATTCTAAACAGAAAAAAAGTTATATAAAATCCTCTTCTTTCCCTTAATGATCACGAACCCCAACTTTATAATTCTATTACTCGAATCATTTTAAAAGGTTTAGGTTTATAATAAGGACGAGCATGTTTTGTTTTGTTTTTCAAAGGTGTTTTTAAAGTACCAAACTAAGGCTTAGTATTTTATGTCTTTAAATGCGCATTCAAAAAACCTAGAAAATAAGTATTTATACACCGTAAATGAAGTATCAATTGAACTATTTTTTTTATCATTTTTATTTTAATATTAAATAGACAAACGATTCAAAGTTCAGTCGAGTATGCCTCAAAAAAGATATTATGGATAGTATATTTTATTTTGTGATCATTTAAATAGAAAACGTTTATATAGTTATATAAAAGATTGGGACTAAACTTGTTTACTGCAATTCTATGTTTAGTTGAATGTGCACTAAAATAAGAATGTTGTACAATTAATGATTCGAGAAAAACTCGTTTTCACTCTATTACGTCGGTCACGTGCTTTTGTCAATAAAATATTATTAACGTATTTTAATAACATTATTAAACCGTAAAAATACGAAACATATATTTTCGAGCTAAGCAATTTATGCATGTTTTGGAAAAGTATACAAACTGTCTGTACATACACATACACATTTATTTTATACAAGCTTATAAAAAATACTGTTTAAACATATTTTGAGTACAAATAAAAACGCTTTATATAGGTATTAATAATGTTTTTTTCTTTTTACATAATATTATCCTATAGGTTAGAGTTTTAATATTGGGTTTTATGTATAATACTGATTTTTGGTTTGCCTAATATCGGTACACGTTAAAATTTGGAATCTAGTCAATATGATGTATTACACTATTACACATTGTGAAATATATGTCTCAATTGAGCATATCAGAGAAAACAAATTTTAAAAATTACAAGTAAACATAAAATGTAAAAAGTATTTAAAATACAATACCAAATTATTTTGTGGAAGTATTTGCAAGTTTGAATATTTCAATTTAATTTTGCACAAATATCTTCCACATTTACACTAAGTCTAAAATTTAAACATGGGAAACGTTGTACTCAAAAATGGCCTTTTTAAAGGACAAATATCGTTCAAGATTGTCTGATGTACATTTTGAAAAATTACTTTGCGCATTAATATTGTACTCCAGTATACGGAGTGACTTTTTTTTTTGAAACAGCAATTTTCTCGAAGGATTTTAAGTGAATTTGATTTTTGTTTTTTTGAACCATTGAAAAACCATTTAAGCTTTATTTTAAAACTATATTTAATTTTTACTCTTATTTTATACACCTTAAATAATTATTTACTTTGTTTTTTCACATACGAATAGGGTAATAAATTGTACATATATTATAAAATGATAAATTTATAACACTTCTCAACATCTCCGGTCTAAATATTATAATTCATAAACGGTAAATTTGATATTAGTGTTATGCATATCAACATTTCTAGAAAAATATTCTCTATTCGAATCTTTGTTCAAAAAAGATAGGGTTTTTTTTTTTTGAAAAATAAAAGTATATTACTACTTATTTAAGGTATATGAAATAGGGGTAAATAACTGAAAATAGTTTTAAAATAAAGCTTAAAAGATTCCACATTGATTGAAAAATAAAAAATACAGAAATCAAAATTCTATTTAAATCTCCCGAAGAAATTGATAATTCACGATAAAGAAAATCACCCTATATTATAAAATACCAAATTTAGAATTGTGAAATCCTACAACCGTACATTTATTTTATTCAAATATGGCTTAAAACAAGAGATTTAATTTCTCTCGTTAATCCTTGTGTAGATTATACACAAAATTTTAATAATTTCAGTTTATAGAAATATCTTCATCTTGAAGACTTTTAAGTAGTTCTACATAAATAACAGATTATATTTTATAAGCTTTTATAAATTTCGTCAGTGGACAGCTTCTCTAACTCAAGACGTCACTACTAATATGTATTTTGATCTTTTCATGACTTATGCTTATTCTACTGTATAGATTGTGTAACTTTAATTTAAAAAGGACGGACATACTTCGCACTTGTATGTAGCCACTTTTGTAGATGGGAAGTTGTAAAGGTAAGATACAGACGGGAATTCAATGTATACCTGTAAGTACCTGTAAGAAAAACGTATCTGAGCGGAGTTTAGTTGATAGTGTTGCTTTGTCAACAATATATATGTCATACTATGGTAAAATGATTACAACAATGTGCGTTTCCATTACAACAACGATTGTTTAAAAAATATTAAAATAATAAAAACCTAATAATAACAAAAAATAAATAAAAACGGTTGCCAATGAAAACCGTATTTCTAATCTTTCATTATTTTTTAACCAAAAAACCAGATTACCTTATTATCTCGAATATTAATGAGAATTTAAAAAAGTGATTTCTCTAAAGTATAGCAAGTGTTAAAAAAGTGTTATACTTGATAATCGGAGTAAGATTTCCAGTTGAAAAAGTGTTTACACAAAAAAACGCATCATTGTAAAACCAATACATGCCTCGCTTTGTTCAGAATCTAAAATAATAAAATAATTATTTTCGCAAATAATATTGCGTTTTTAATACATGCCTAGCAACTATAATATTATTAAAAATTTATCTATTTTTTTTTTTTTTTTGCTCTGAATATCGAAAATTATTTTTCAAATGATCCGGATCATTCCCTTAGATTCTNTTTCGCAAATAATATTGCGTTTTTAATACATGCCTAGCAACTATAATATTATTAAAAATTTATCTATTTTTTTTTTTTTTTGCTCTGAATATCGAAAATTATTTTTCAAATGATCCGGATCATTCCCTTAGATTCTTATTGCTGACTCCCCTCCCTTTCGGTCTTCACTATATGACGGTGAATTGACCATCGGCAACGGATACCTATGATATGGATTAAGTTCATTCGGATATTATATCATACACCTAGAACATTTTCTGTCCGAAATTCTGCCACGGAGAAATACCGAATAAATTAGATATTTACTGGAAATTTCGTTTTACTGTACAACTTGTATATTATTATCGATACCTACTATAAATATATTTACTACTTATTGCAAGACATTTTAATTAACAATACGGGTGAGACAGTTTTCTTCCACTGTCCACCTCATCAAAAATGTACTTTTCCTTTCGAGACATTTCTTAATTCATTCTCAAATTATAAGTATCTATTCAAAAAATCAAAACGGACGGACATTCTTTGCACAATAAGTGGGCAACTGTTTGTAGGCGAGAATGGGGAAAGATTGCATATAGTGTGAAATTACATTTATACTTGCAGTTAGCAACGATTAATCATTACTAACGAAAAATGATTCTGAGCGACGCTTGGTTATTAAAGTATTACTTTTTCAACAATATTAAGAAATTAAAATTATAAAACTTAATAATAACGAAAAATTAATAAAAACAGTGGCTTTATTTATATTTAAATACATTTATTTGAATACTTTTTATCCTATCGCATTTGATCAGGTTATATAATAATAATACATTTATTTTTTTTTAGCAGTTTTAGCAATTAATGTTTACAATATTGTTACATAATATTTTAGTGTTGCATTGCAACGTTTATTACTAAGGATAAATCATTGTATGTATATTGTGCCACCTGAAATGTCGTAATTATTACCTTCGTAGTTTTCGTTGAATAAATCTCTTTTAGATTCTGAGTGGAGCGAGGAGTGTATTGCTTTACAATGATGTTTATTATTGTTATTATTATTTTTTTCTGTGAACAATTTTTCTACCAAAAATGTTGTTCCAATTTTTAATGGATAGCACTTTTTCTGAAAGGAAATCTGACTGCAGTGGTACTTTGGAGAGGTTATTTTTTGATTTTCCCATAAGTTTTCCTAATAAATGGAAAACTCTGGAAAATACATGGGAAAAAAACGTAGGAAAAATAGAAAAATAGCTGAAATATTAAACAATTATATTATTAAAGAAAATGTTTAATGCATACGTAACCATTTTACCATAACATGACATATATATTATTGACAAAGTAACACTTTCAACCGAACTACGCTCAGAATCGTTTTTCGTTAGCAATGATTAAACGTTGCGTACAGATGTACATTAAATTCCCATTTTTATTCTACCTTCTCAACTTCCCACCTATAATAGTGGCTAAACCCGTCTCCATTATCCTAGGACAGATTTTTTTTTGTTTTCAGTTGAAAGCTTACGAATTTAGTTAATTTTACATCGACATTGATGATTACATTCGTGTACCTATTTTATCACGAGCATTATGTTGGCGGCGGCAGCGCGCTATAATACGTAAAATTATTTTATCAATACGTTTTATTTTCCGACGAATGGTTCGTAAACCATTTAGGGGTATCATTTGTATTTAATAAAATATATTTAATGCTGCGGGATTGCAGAGAAGGTTTATTTTATTTTTCCGCGATCTATAATATTTGCTTTTACAATATTCGATTGAAAAAATAAATTTAAATATTATACACACAATCTACAATGATACGTTTTTAAATTTAAAAAAAACGATTCTGAGTGGAATTCACTTGATATTAATAAAGTAGTGAATATATATATATATATATATATACAAGTATATGTATGTCATACAATAAAATTATAAACAATATGCGTTTCTATTTTAACAATAATAGTTTAAGAAAGATTAAAATAATAAAAACTTAATTATAACAAAAAATAAATAAAAACGGTTGTTAATAATAACCTTTTTTTAATCTTTCAATCGTTTAAACTTAAAAAACTAGGTTTTTCATATTATATCGAATATTAATGAGAATTTCAAAAAATGACCTCCTCATAGTATCACCCAGAGAACATTTCCTTTCAAACAAAGTACCAATATACTTGATAATTGGAGTAAGCTTTTTGGTAGAAAGTGTTTAAAATAATAAAAAAAAATTAAACATCTTTGTAAAACCAATACATACTTCGCTATAACCAGAATATAAAAAAAAAAATTGTTCGTATATTATACGTAAATATACTCTGTTTATTCAAAATCTATATTATTTTAATACCTAGCATAATGTTATTTAGGTTTTTTTTTTAAATATACACGGCAATAATTCTTCTTGTTCTTCTAGTTTATGGCCTTGAAAACACCACACTGGCAAAATAAAGCCTTTTACTCTTTATCTAGAGCTAATTTTCTCCTATCAGTTACTGGAACACTTTTTTTACTTAATTTTTTTTCCGATATCGGATTAAAAATTCCGGGCGCTCTAAAGATCTTTTTTCAAAAGGATCATTTAATTGTAATAATTGATGAATACAATAAGCATGAATATATTATATAATATATATGTGGAGATTTGAGTGGCTTTTTGGCTTTTTTTTTTTATGTAAATAAGAAAATGTTTCCCCACAAGGAAATTTATTGAGAATGATCCCACCTCCCTTACCCATATAAAATATATGTGTGCGCCACTGATTTTATAGGCACTCTTTGTATACAAAAGACATTGTAATAGTTTGATATAATAGAACCAATACGGATAAGTGAAATGTGAATTTCGTCGTTTTACTATCTAAAAATAGTCTGTGCAAATAATTACTTTAGAGAAAAATTAGCTTTAATATTTATTATTATTATGTTTAACCGTTTATTGTTTGGGATCTGTTTTTTACAGGTATAAGCTCAAAAGAACGGATACTTTTTTCTTCGAGGACGTTTTTTCTTTTTTTTAGGCCAATGTTTTATACTTTTTTATTGAGCTACACACTAACAGCAGTAAACAATAGCCGAATTAATATAATATAGATAAGTAATAACTGTTACAAATAAAATTATGTAATACTATATGTATATTTTTTTTTACTGTTTTGTTAAAAAACATATAATAAGAAACCAGCGCACTCCCACTCAACAGTGGTGTGCGCAGGGGGTGAGGTTGTGAGTTATATTCTATCCCCACCTCATTAGCTTAAAAATACAACAATGATGAGTATTTATTTAGAAACTTAATTTTATCGGGATGTTTCTATATTATATTACACCAAAATTACGAGGAAATCTCGATTTAAATTGATTGAAAATTGGCTTTTTTTCGGATCCGGCTATACAGTCGCCATAGTCAAGTCGAGACGGGGAAGAAGATTCTACGATTTATTCGCGGTTATCTTTTCCCATATACCCGCGGGTCCTGTTGAAAATTCCCGGGCGAGCCAAAACAAAAGAACGCAATATCGTAAAGGTACGCCCGTTGAAACAAAATATAAATAGCTACGATAAAATCGACCCGAGTGATATTATTTGTAATCATTTCCGTAGGTATAATATACTTTTCGTTTCCCGCCTCAACCCGCTGAACCGACGACGTTTCATTGAATGGCGCTCGCAATATATTATTCTGAATATCCGTCCCACTCACGAGATAATAAATTAATTTTATTGTCCCCGCGGCGACTATAGCGACCATTATGTTGGCTTACTGATATTGTGACAAAACAAAAATAAAACGTTATTCAAGAAATCCCATTCGAAATTCTCCCGAATTCTCGTGCGAGTCAGCGCGTCTAAAGAAACGTCCGCGTGTGTTTTTTTCCGCCCTTATATTATAAGCTATTAATCTCTTCGCTATTGCACTGCTGCCTGTGTACACGGCCAATCGACACCGACTGCGATTTCAAACGGGGACCCCGCGCGACCGCGCGCCACAATATTTCATTCCGTTCATTTATATACGCGCTTATCGTTATTTCCGCGGCGAATGGCTTACTTATGTTCTACGGACAATGTTCTCGCGAACAATAACAGCGCCCATAGTGTATTTACGTAATTCTGACAGATCGATAAATTACATTCCTCGGTATGGGTATTTAAAAAAAAAAAAAATCGTATAGAAAAGACGCAGATACACTAAGCATGCGACCGCAACCGAATAGCCGATTTTACGAGTAAACACGGTTGTTTTGTCGTACGGCCATATAATGTCAACACGAGACATTATATTGCGATGTGCATAATCAGTGGCGTAGCTAGGAATTTCGTATGGGAGGGGGATGCTAACATCCCGTATTGCCTATGTAGATAGTAAACAATTTACTCGAAAGTTTCAAAATGTATATACTGAATTAAAATTAGATATTATTCAATATAAATTTAATAAATTTAACAATAACTATGAATAAATTTAAAATAAAATGTATAATATATATATTATAATAATCTTGATTCCCAATCTGTCAACTGCATTCTTCTCATTAAACCATCATTGAGTATTTTAAGCAAACATTTGGACAACTTCAAACAACTTCGTATTCATTGAAATCTTATTTTTTATTAGTATTTGCCATTGCAAATCCATTTAGTCTCACTCGATTCTCGGGATAAAGTAGACCGTAAGTAGGATTTTAATCTCTTTAACGTCAAAAATGTCCGTTCTAATGTAGAAGAAGTAACAGGTAACGCTGGGTTTTTATTAATTATTTTTCTAGTTAACTCGTGTCGCAAAATCGAGAATTTAAGAGAACGCATCGAGAAATTCGGGCTAGAGTAAACCGACTTAGCAAAACATTTTCAACCGATCCGGATAGAAATTCGGGAATGAATCCGTTTGCCTCCAGTCCCGACTTAATTTCCTCGTCACCGATCCAGTCCGCTTCTTTCGTTATCGTAATATCTTATCGTCATTACGTGAGATATAAACTACGAGCTTAATAATATTCCGATAGTAATATTTACAAATCGAGTGACTCGAAAACGATAGACCAAATGATTGCGTAGCAAAATGTGATGAGAACTTAACAAATTAAACAAGGGAAAAATATCAAGTTTGTGACGCGGACGAACCGACATCGGTAACTATCGATCACCTTTCACGCCCATCAAAAAAAAAATTAAACAAGTAGGTTGTATTTTTACACCAGTTTACCATAGCGAATTTCTTAAAATACACCGTTTCTTATTCAAAGGGATCCGATCGTCCTGATAATGCGATAATTGAAACGATTAAAGAAACGACTTATCTAATCCATGCCTCCACTAGGGTTTGTTTTGATAAGTACCTGTACGCGTAAACATAATTAACTGAACTTGTTATCTGTATAAAACGTAATTTGGCGATAATCAACGGCGGAAATCAAAATCGATTACTGGAGCAATAATAATGTTGTTCGGTATTTGAAAGTGTATCTGCTGCAATCGTATATTTATGTAACATGGTTAAGTTTTGTACGATTGAATATATTGGCAACGTCCCAAACCCGTATGGCCGATTCGGTATATGCCAAACGGTTTGTGTATAAACGTTTATATTATATGTCTCAAGAGATTTCGGGATTTTTTTCATTTTTTAGGATACTGCAGTATTTATATGATAGATATCGTCTATTTTTCGCTTATAGTTTAAATCTCGAGACAGTCGATATTTAAAATGTCTAACAATTTTTCTGTGTTTACGTTATACAGAAATGCAATAATCATAAACGATTCAGTGTCAAAACGGTCTCGGTGAACTCGGTGAATTTTGTGAAGTTAACGACGGAAAAAGAAAACATCAAAAAAAAAAAAAAAGTCATCGTGAAAAATATAAATCATCGACAAACGTAAGTAATTTTTATTTTTTCGTGCAAAAAGAAAAAAAAAATGATATAATTATAGATACTGCTGTTTGTATAATTTCATAATGAAAAATCGTAAATACGAACAATAATTTCGAACGAGAAAATTGCTGAAAAAATCGTCCTGCGTAATAATATTATGGTTTGTTGTTCACAATTTTGTTGGCTTTATGTTTATGTTTATGTACACGAGTAGCCTGCGTGTGTACTACATAAATAAAATATGTACACAAGCGTATTTTTAATTAGGTTTTTTACAAATTTGTTTTCTTTTTCTAACTGAATTCATAGTGAAATTCATAATTTTTTCGACAAGATAAAAAAAAATTATAACTGACTAATAACCTTTTGACAGATAATATTTTAAATTATAATAATCTGGTTTGGTATACCGAAAGCAGTTTTTTTTTTTTTTTTTTGAAAAAAACGGTATTTTAATTAAATTTTAATTAGAAGTAGGTACCTGAATTTCTATACATATGTGCATTTTGTGTGAAGTAGTAATTCCCTATTATACGCGTTTTAATATTTATGCAATATTAAGATAAGAAAATCAGGAGTAAAAAAAAAAAATTGTAAAAATCGTTTCATCTGACTGTAGTCATAATTGTTATCATTAAAAAAAAAAAACCGCGAAATTTGTAACGTTAAAAATAATAATTAACACTCGCGCCGCGGATGTAACGTAGTCGATGGTTTTGTCGTAAATGAAAATGCAAACAAATTATTATAGTATTCAAATCAGATGGTTTTGCATGTCGTTCAGATTCGAATCAATTGTTTATTTTGATTGGATGTATCGTATTGTTAATATAATCAGGGGAGTGGGCGAAATATACTATCAAAATAATATTAATTATAAAGCATACCGATTTTCAACGAGTCAACATTATGTAGATGCAAATAATTCCGATGTAATAACAGTGAATACAAAATGAGCTGATAGTTGGCGGCTGTGTCGGTGCCACTAAACACTGACGTAGATGAAAAGTTTGGAATACAGGGAGTATCATGCATAGAGTAATTTAATTTGTATTCGTGCACAACGGTCGCTAAAAAAAAAACGATGCCGAACCGCCGAATGAAAAACACGACCCGGCTAGGAGTCCTCCTCGATTAAATTTGACAAATGTTTTTATTTTTTTTAAAAAAAAAAAAAAAAAAAAAAAAAAAAAAAAAAAAATGGTTACTTTTGATTAGCCGAACGAATCTTATCCTTAACCTAATACAGAAAACTTGATTATTTTAAAAGGCCATCAAAATCTTGCCAGAATATTTTGAAAATTTCACCATGTCTGGAAAATGTTAAAATGCGTATACGACAGAGGTCGCCATGATTGATTGTTTCTGACCGAATTATAAAAAAAAAAGTCGAAAAATTGTTGACGGACAGGGAAAAAAAAAACCCAAATCGTACCGGTATAATATTCCTATCGCTCAGAATTAAAAATCTTCCGGTTTCGTCGTATTTCACAGTTTTTCGGTGAAAAAAAAAACACGTAAAAACGCGGTAGATATTTCGCCGACCAAGTGGAAAGACAATTGTATCGGTTTAGCCGTAACGGCCAATTGAAAAATATTGTTCGCTGTTTTCCGAACGAAACGATAATCAGGCGTAGGTGTGAGAGTAAACTGTTTGATTAGAGAAAAAAAAAAAAAAAATCATATCCGTTTAAATCTGATAACTTCCGTTAGCGAACGTTTCGCCGGCCAAGGGAATATACCGTATCGAGTGAAACGGGCGCGCGCGAGTTCATCCGAATAGTGTGTAATAGTGCAGCGGGCACTTACGGACGAATATAAATAATGGGGGGCTGAAATATGTTTCCGGAAATAATAGTGTGCGATTCTCGAATGGAGCTTTAAATTTTTAACGAAACGACCCGGCGTTGTTCATATTATTACGGTCGTACCGACGAAAACGCACGCCACGAGCGATTTGGTATTTTTAACCAGCGGCGCCATACGCGGGGTTCGGGTCTAATGAAGACCCGACCGCACTGTTATCGGGACGGTATAGCGGTTGATGGCCGGAGTTTCTCATTCCGATTTGCAAAATACGAATATTATTTATCGTCGTCGAGTTTTAAAGTTTGTCGAGATTTCCATTGAACAATGTGCGAAATGCGTTATTACTGCAGGACCGGATTACGCCCAATCGTAGCCATAGGCGCGTATTTTTGGTAACATTCCTATGTTTTCCGTTGTCAAGTCATCTAAATGGCATGCCTATACATCGTGACCAATACGCTTTAGCTGTGCAATTATTTTATAACTCGCATAAGCGATTTAAAATTTAAAATTCACTCATTATTATGTTACTTAATCCATTTTGATACGGTTAATTTCGGGATGCTGTTGCGTGTTAATAAAAATAAAACAGCCCCTGTAAATACAGTTATAATGCACGTGCCCACCTCGCTTATGCGTTAATCCCGGCCTGGTTATTAGTATAGACGATCGGGTACATATTTTAATACACCCATCGTATCAGTCGTACGCTGAGTTTTCGGCAAACACGAAACGGTTTACAATCACGATTTTTCCCGAGCTACGGACATAGTTTTATGACAATATCGATGAAAAAATATTACTATAAGGTAGCGTTACGCAATAAAAATGACGAAATAACTAAAACTACACGATTTTCAATGACGAGAATTTTGATTGATATACATTTGCGGACAGGACGAATCGAGTTGATGTGGCGAGATACCCGAAGTGAGCTTGTGAAGTGGTTACGGCTACTGATGACTATATTGACCGGACCGTGTTTTAACACGGATGCCATTGTTTTAAACACTCTCTGCTTATATATAGAGTGATCAATCTATCGTAAGACACTCATTGTCTTAGAAAGTATTAACTTTTTTCGGATATTGTTTGATAGAACGTTTGTCAAAACAAGTACCTCTACAATTTTACATTTCTGTTATGTTCTGTCACCCTTATTTTTGGACTTAAAACCACTACCTATTTTTGATTTTCAAACGTTGAAAATTCCACAAATAGATGGAATATTAGTCAAAATAAATTTCGGTGTTGAAAGTTTAATTTCCGTCAATCTGTTGACCAAATATTCCATTTTTAAGTTTGGATCGGTGGTGAATAGTAGAGCATCATTTTGTGTGGTGGCATGGCGCGTGGCGTTTTAATAATGCATTTATATTATTATAAAACACAGTCAATCCGAACACGACAAACCGTTTTCCTAAGGCCCGACAAGTGGTTTTTTTTTTTTTTGTTTTCCGTGTTTATTCGATTAATTTAAACGGTTTTAATTAATTTGCATAAAACATTTTTTCCACGTTCGAAAATTATAGGCTCGAAGAAAATACGAGGTTTATAATATTTTTTATTCGACTGTTGTTTTCAGGGCTGCAGTATAAATATAATAATCATTGTTTATAACTGTTTTCTTTTTTTTTTTTTATGTGAAAAGAAAACGAGGAATATAATATTTTACCCCGCACATTCTTGAAAAAGAATATCGTTTCCAATAGGATAAGTTTTCGAGAGTTAGTATTTTTATCTGGCCCGAAAAACTTGTGGAGTTCGATAGTTAATGTTGATGTTTATTGTTATTTTTATTATCATTATCATTTTATTTTATTTCAAATAAACGTTAGGTAAATATTTTGACGTTGTAGTTTTTCTTAAAAAATTATTGAAAGTTTAATGAAGTCGTATAACTCCATACATAAATTATGTGCATATACATAATAAATCCATTGTAAAATATCCTTTTCAAACACGACAATACTCTCAATGACGTAATGTGACCGGAAAATACGTCGAATTCAAATGACAAAATAGAGGTACCCGTAATATGACAACATAAGAACATCGGTATACGGCGTACGTTTCAATAAATTAGGTACCTATCTCAAAATTAAAATATTTTTCAAAAGCGGATAATATATTGCCAGTACCTTTTGTAAGTATGTAATTTCACGTTTTTAATATGTTAGTATTCGCATTCAAAGAAAAAAAAAATTCGTACATTTATTATTATATAATTTTAGTTATAGTTATTTTAGTTATTCGTGTAAGAAAATTCCGTTACAAAATGATTGGAGACTATGAGGCTCAGCGGGAACGTGTTGCTTTTTCTATTCCATAATTTTATCGTCAATTTCGATTTTTCCACGGATCATAAAAGATGGCCCACCGGTATTTCATTTGTTATATTTTTCGTAGATTATCAACAGTTTTGCAGTATTTTTGGTTTAAGCGGCGGTTATGACTGATATTATCCGGACGGCCCGGTGAGAAGGACGATTCTAGTAACGCCAGAACGGAACTGTCGAAACGTCTATTTCGGACATTTTTCGGGTCACTAGATATATGATCTTATGTAGACACGTGTTATATTGTTATACCGCAATTAGGGCTAGTGATGATCATTTTTTTTTTTTAGCCACATATATCACGATACTTTATGGTACCTAAACACGGTCGAGTAAATAATATAATAAAACGCGTGTTTGCTATATATTATATAATGTATAGCAACTCATAACTCTGATGTTGAGGGGATTTATATTATGTTTTCTATTCATTGTTTACGAAACTGCGGTGGTTCATCTAAAATATGATAATAACAGAACGTGTGTGGGACTTGATATGTATAGTGTAACGTGTGTAATACAAGCACACGTCTTTATTATAATACCAACACGGGTGTCGATTACGTCTAATACCTAATAAGTCTATTATACAGACTGTTTATTAGTGATGTCAGAGATATCCCCGAATTCCAATAAAATCTGGATAATCCGGAAATAAAAATAAATTTTATTCGGATTATCTGGATAATACGAAAAATTCGAATGTCTTTAATCATCTGTAGTGGTGCAAACAGGGGAGGAGGCTTAACTCCCTCCGAAAAATAAGATACCTTTAAAATTAATAATGCAATTATTGAATTATTATGAAATTATCCGGATTATCCGAATAAATACGGATATAGATATCCGGTTTATCCGGTTTGTTCAACTCCGGATAATTGACCTTCACTATTGTCTATAGTTCTATACTAATTTATTCTACTCTTTCTTGTTATACGCATGATTTAGGTCCCCATTCCACTCTGAGCTCAAATCCATTATTAGATCATATATTTAGTGTTTTATCGTTTTACCGACCACCCCCATATGGCATATGCTTGCATACATTCATTAGGTTACACATACTATTTGCAGTATTTTTTTTCGTTATCGCCCATAATTACTATATATACTACATATAGTGTGTCCCACCAATGGATTTTTCTAGCGCTGTTAATATTCAATTTTTTAATTTTTTTTTTTTTTTCAATCGGTTTGCTTCGAGGGGGACATTGATTTGGAGACAAATTAAATTTTTATTTTATCCCCTAAACACACACACACACACACAAAAAATAACTTTTTATTTATTTACTTTGTTGAAAACCCTTGGTTTAAAACATAGTTTGTATTTAGATAAGTAAGCAATATATTATTTTTTGGTAACGTCTTCCGTCGCCGAGCGCATGAAATGCGAACGACGACGGCAGTCGAGTTAAAAAAACGATTCCGTATAGTTATACGTAGAACCTATTAAATGTCTTTTTAAATAAATTTAGATAACAATAAACAATAAGTTATTATTTCAAAACGGATGAGTTCAGTGTTTGATTAATCCCAAAAGTCGAACTCAAATAAACGAGTATCCGCCGTCATTTACGGAAGAAACCAACATTGACGGTGAACCCGGCATCAACCGGATATAGGATACAACAACTTGAAGAAATTTTCAAAAAAGCCACTTTGTATAAAATATTATAAAAAAAATAGTAATTTATCATACATTTATATCCGATTATTAATTTCAATTAATAATTTAATAATTTAATAATATATCGATTTTCATTTCTAGAAAATAGGCGTGAAAACAATTTATTCAATACAAGATAAATTGATTTGAATGTATATGATATTGGTTAATTTCGTATTGTTTACTGTCGCAATTTTATATAAACTAGAGAACGAAATTCAACAGTCTCTATACACACTTCAATAATATTATTGACTGTTATTATTAAAAATTCGTTACATTTGTTTTACTTATTAGGAAAAACTAACAATCTGTGTTACATGCATAATAGGAAAATATCATGACAGATACAACATAATAATTACAGAATAATATGAGAAGGGAGGCCGTCCAGTGATGGAATCCAACGAACGTTAAAGTATAAGCCGAATGAAATAATAAATAAACGTCAAATTTGTGATTTATATTAATATAATAAACATACAAGGATTCTACAGGGAGCAATTAAAAAAAAAGAGCTGATACTGGGGATGTCTGCGGCCACTGTTATAAGAGGGTATAGTGGGGAAGGTGGAATACATAAAGTTATTTAATTTATACCTGTAACCAACGATAAACCATTGATAACGAAAAACGATTCGGAGCGAAGTTTGGTTATACATGTTTTTGAACGACTATAATATTTACGATTTTCGTCAAAATTTAATTTCAAAACCATTATGTATAAAAAAAAAAAATACATTGAACTAATTATTTTATATTTTTTTGACACTAAGTACGACTTACAATAAACCTTCTATTAATTTTCAAGCATTTCTGTTAAGTCAACAATTTATCTACCAAGTACGTACTTAGTAGTACTAAAAACTCTAATGTTATGAAAATTGTATCAAGTCTAGAAAAAATAAGAATACATTTTCTGTCAAAATTTTAAGCCTTAACAAATATTTTAATCTGAATTATAACGAAAAAACAAAAATTGAAAATAATAAAAGCATTGTTTTCGTCAAATGTCCTGTTTTTTTTTTTTTTTTTTTGTTGGTAATGCTCAATTTTTAATATAACTACAGTAACTACAGAGAAAATCAAAAATGAATAACTTAGTCATGAACTACATTAAAAATGCAACAAAAAAAAGTATATTGTCATTTATCTATTAGAGCAATATTTATGGCGGAAAACATAAGCCGTACAAATTTAAAATAATGAAATCGTTATGCCGTTGAAATCGTATATTTTTTCTTTTTTGGTTTTTTCCAACTATTTTTGATATCGAAAAACTACTTACTCTGTCATTAGCAATTTGTTAATAGGAGCAAATTTGATATCTTGCTATTTTTCGATTGAAGTAATTTCTTATATCGCTTTTTGGTTTATCGCTTTATTATTATTTTCGATCAGGCAATGCGATTGACTACGACGCGATTACTTACCTTCTCATGTAGTGATACTTGATGACGACGACGATGATAACGGAGTTGGCTACGGCCGCGACGAAGAACAGCGGTACGTACATGCCGATCAACAGTATGCTCCGGACCTCTGTGAGCCGCATCTGGGACGAGGAGAACTCGGCGATCAGGCCGTCGATGACCTCGGCCTGTTCCATTCCCGGGTGTTTCGTCCACGGGTCGGTGTGGTTGTACGCCGCCGTCGTGTTGTTGGACATTTCGGCAGTACGTCGTTGTTGTCGTTTGCTGCGGCGGGCCGATTTCGTTCGGTGTCATCAATCCGGGCGAGCGCGTTTTCGTCAAACTGGAAACGAAATAATAATACAAACTCAGTAACGCGGCCAAGCACGTATTGAGGATCAATTTGCGGGGGAATTCAAAATATTTTTAATACATGAACTTGTAGTTAGTATTTGTTGTACTATAAATATATACCTATTCTTTAAAAATTTAGTGGGAGGGGTTTTTATCCCTTACCCACTACATGGAGAATATGGGACCACGTAGATTGAAATGGGGGGGGGTACAATTGCCCGCGGTCCAATGCCGGGCTGATAATTTCAAACGCGGTGTATGCGCGTCGCCGATAACGTATAGGTACGTATACCCAAGCCCGGATTAAGACATTTCGAGGCCCCAGGGCCAAACACTTCAACGAGGCTCTAGTTGAAAAACTAATAATATTAAATGTTTAAAAATCTTTACAAACCAATGTATTTTAACAAAAGAATAGTAGTAACAATAGTATAGCTGTTTTAGATCTCAATTTAAATGCCACGAGTATCATTCGAATACATTTATTATTTTTAACGAGTTACTAGTAGTTCCTACTAGAATATAATAGTATTATAAATAAGTGAATAAATATTATATATAAGTGATGAATAAATCATTGCCAGACAACGAAAAACTATTATAATATCAAAGTACAAATTTAATGGTTTAATGCGTATCTACATAAAAAAAATGGGTTCAGTACACTTTTCCGACATTTAATTGCCCGACAGTACATTTTATATTTACTGTACCTGCGTAGTACTGATATACAATATTTTATTATTATAATTATTTTGTATTAATATATAAAGACCAAAATCAGATGAATATTTTATTATTGATAAGGAAAGTGTAGTGTCGGGAAAATGTATTGTCAGACAAATGGTGTCGGGCATTCGAGTGTCGGGCAAACATATCAGACTCACAAAGTGTCAAAAACTGAAGCCCCGAGAGTCTGGCGACCCGGGACCACAGCCCTCTTTGAATTCCCCGGGCTTGCGTATACCGAATCAGGGCCCGTTCTTACCGATATAAACGTCGATATTCAACCGGAGTTTGATGACCGACCGACCAGTTTCGAAAATCGGATAAATGAAAGCGTTTGTGTCGTCGAGAACGGCCCTAATTTAACTAATATTTTTTTTTTACCGCGTATTTACACATTATACGATAAAAGTATATTGCAATCAGAGTTTCTTCAAATTGTTGTCGAATATTGCGCTGACGGAGACATAAACTAATTTGTTAATGGCTCAGACACTACAGGAGGACTTCTCGACTCTTCGTGTCACGTGAAGTACACTTTTTCGGTGGCTCGTCTTAACGTCGTGTTCGATACATTTTGATCGTGAATATTACTAATTATTATAGTAACGCGACGGTTATGCGGGTGTAGAGTGTTATGTAAACACATCATTTAACCTAACCTATTACATTTTACAGAAGTATTAACAGTAACATTGTTACTATATTAAAAACCATGTCCAAAATATTGATAAAAAATTAAGGTAAATCACGTAAGCGCTGAAAATGTCAGTTTTACAAAGCATAAAAGGAATATTCTTCTGAATAGAAATGAAAACACATTAATGAAAATTTAATTTACACCGCCCGATGTATGGTATATATAAGTCTAATTAATATGGCCGTTATTCTCGGTCGACGTTCAACGCTCGATTCAGCCGCTACAGATCAATGTTATTGAGACTTAACCGCCGTTTTTTGAATCTCGTAAATCTCCAAAATTCTTTGTAAACGAATAAATAAAATAAAAAAAGAATTTACAAAATAAACCTAAGCCTAGGCATAGTAAATTGTTTGGTATCCCGTCGGAACGACGCTGTAAAAACCGTAGCGTGGGCAAAAATGTCACGAATACAAAAAGTCGCCAAATTAAAAAAAAAAATCTACTTCGTCAATTTTTTTTTTTTTTCATTTGGTTTTTATTGATGTATTTGTTTTGCATATTTTGATACGTTTAAAAATTAACTTTTAAAATTAATCTAAACGTTTTTTTTTTTACCGGGTTATCAGATTTTAATATAAACGCAATGCGCCAATGGCAGTGAAAGTGTTAAACTTTGTACCTTTTATAGTCGTTATTTATACGATTTATGTATAGTCGTCATTATATTCAATTCTATTATTTTAACATTGTAATATTATTGTTTGTACTTAGAAATTGTGAAATATCCACGCATACTAATATGTTTACAATAAATAATAACAATAATAATTTATTGCGTTTTTTTTAAAATTTTTTTTTTGTTATTATTACGGCTTCAACGTGAAATCATTAGCCGGAAAGAAACAATTTACATTTTATATTATATAAATAGTAAGTTCATTAGCTATAGCAATAGCAATAATAATAATAATGGAAACAATTTGTATAAGAGATAAACATATTTAAATAAGGGTGTACAGATTATTTTTTTTAAGAAATTTATTGTTAGTTTCTTGGTCCCAAAGTAGTTGATATGCTTCATAGGTCCTAATAGAGGCGTCCTGATTTCTTCCTTAAGAGATGAAAGTTCTATCTTAGTAGTATTATAACTATAATAAAATACATTAATAAGTTGAAGTTTTTAATAGATAACCTATTTTCTAAATTCGTAAGTAGTGGACAAATTTTTCTCTCTTCGGTTAGTTGAGGGCAATCGAGAAGGTGTTTAATGGATATTACTAAAGTGTTACAGAGTTCGCTCATTGGTTTTGGTTCGTTTTTCATTAGGTGTACGTGGGTCAGGTTAGTGTGACTGATTCTTAGACGAGACCATATTGTTTGTTCTTGTCTTGAACAAGAAGGGAGGTATGGAATTGAAGCTAAACGTATATTGATTTGATGAATTTTATTGTTAGTTTCTTGGTCCCAAAGTAGTTGATATGCTTCATAGCTCCTAATAGAGGCGTCCTGATTTCTTCCTTAAGAGATGAAAGTTCTATCTTAGTAGTATTATTACTATTAGTACAGGCTTTTTTAGCTGCTAAGTCAGCTTTTTCATTTCGGGTATCCAAAAGTAGATAACCGAACGTGGGAATAAGGAAGCGGCTTTTTCTTGAATATTTTTTACAATGTCGTTTGTTGAACCGTACTTGATATCAACATTTTGTGCGACGATATTTGGTTTATAATATATAATATGTACCTACACAATAGTAGTAATTCAATAAATTCCAGAATATCGTATTGCTAATCGCTAATCACCCTACTACAAGTTCGGTTGAATATAATAGGTACTCCACCGATACAGTGTCCCCATGTCTTTCGAATTTATTACTAATAAAAAAAAAAAGATGGAAAACTAAATTTTTACGCAGTGAAATGTTTGTACTAGTGAAATTTTTATACGGATTCTATTTGTTCGTAAAATTAAAAAAAGAGCTGATACTGGGGTTGGGAGCGTCATCTCATACTATTATCACAAAAAGTTATAATAGAAAAAAAAAATAGAAAAATCAAATTTTGAGCGACACGACGATGTCCGTCTTAAATTTAGGTAACCGATCGAACTATCGAGTATTCGAGGCAAGATTAAACGCTTAATTTGATAACGGTATTCGCGTTATTATAATATTAATAAACGGTCCAATATCGGAATATTATTTCCCTGCCAACGTCGTTTTAATAATACGTTTTGTCGAGTCGTGCGTTTTGTATCGCATTGCGTTTAAACGGTTTTTTTGTATAACTTTCAATTTTCATCAGCGATACGTTGGTTTTTGCGTGTTTAGCAATTTGTACGAGTAACACCGCAGATCATCGCGTGCAATATATCACTTTAGATTATTACGCAGATTGGACTAAATAATGTTTAGTACCCAGAAGGCGGCGCTTTCCGAAAGAACACGTACGTTAATTCTTGACAAGAAGCGAGAACTGTATGATAATTATATGTTAAAGCCCAGGACATTAGTACTGCCGATAATAGTGCTACGTCACATGCCGTGCGTGGAGGAGAGACGCTCGCACTGTGATCATGTTCAGTGACGCCTATCCTTATTATTACGTGAGGCAATCGGTTAGTTCGGAGTTGAATTGTTAACAGAGAGAATTAAATATACGAGTACGATACCTTTCAAGAGTATAAAAATTTAAGTAACTTTTTTTTTTTTGGTTATGTATTCCATTTGAATAGAATACAGCGCCCGGGCAACCTGGATGAGTACTACAATAAATGTGCCTGACCTGTACAAATTGAATTCATACCAATTTATTTTCTCGTGGAAATACCTACGAGGTTGAGGACAAAAACCATAACCATAATAATTGTGCAGTGTTCACCCTCCATCACACCATGCCTTAAATTACCTATAGGTACCGACGTTGCTAAAAAAAGATAAACCTAAATTCTGTATATTATGTTTTTCTAACGACATTAGCTCACGTTTCAATTGCGATTTGCAAAATGTAATGGTTTTAGTGTAATAAAAAAAATCGGCAAAATCTAAATCCCGACAGTTAAAAAGATGTTACATGTTTAATATTTAAGGGATCGCGTAAGTCCGTGTTAAATTTTTTTTGAATTGGCTTTTTTTTATTGTTCGCATTTTTTTTCGAATATTTTTTCTTGGATTTTTATTTTTCGTATTTTACATTTTTTATCAGACTTTTTTTTTTATTTGTTTATTTCTTCTGTCGTAAATTCATGCGTCGTTTTTTTGCGATGTATAACATATAAACCTATACTAAGATATAGAATTTAGACATTATTAACATAAATGACAATCAAAATTTAACGTTTTAACTAAAATTGTTTTATGCTAACGACAAATAATTTCTTGTTTCCATATTTTTTATACAGATTATAGTAAACATCAATGGCGGCTTGAAGGAGGTTTATGTAAATCATGCAAATCATAAAAGAATGAGCGGGTGGGTAGTGGGTGCCTGGGTGTTGCGAAATAAAACAAAAATTATTATGTTTTTACAAAATAAAAGTCATTAAATGAATTTTAGACTGTGGAAATTTGATATATTTGACGAATTTGATTGAAATTTATCAATTTCTTAACCACAAGGGTGAGGTATTTTTGGGT